TTCCACAGGTTACCTTTGAGGTAGTCTCATTTATCTCCTGCTTGGGCACACACAAGGAGCACACAATCCTCCTTTTCTCACTTCCTACTACAACTAGGATGACGTGTGTGCCAACATACTCAGCTTCTTCCACTGGGATGGACTCATGCAGACTTTTCTGCTCAGGGCAGCCTGGAACTGCAATCTTCCCAACCTCAGCCTCCAATGTAGCTAGGATGACAAGCAGAGGCCACCATACCCAGCTATTGATTAGGAAGGGATCTCACAACTGTTTTCTTGGTCTAGCCTTAAAACACCAAGAATCTCTCATCTTTAGCTCCCAAGTAGCTACAATTACAGACACCAGCACTGGTCACCTGATATTGTACTGTATTTTTACCATTTGACAATTATATCTCACTGTGAAGATCTTTTCTGGTCTTATCAGTTTGCGGTTTTGTAGGCCTCCTGTTCCTGAGTGCTCATGTTATTTTCTGCTGTTATTTTATTGAATAGGTTTTCTTTATTTTTGCCCTTTTGTATATGCTGATGATGCAAGTATTCAGCCTTTTAATAATGGTCCTGAGGATCTTTTTTTTTATTAATTGTAGGAGTTGTTTGTTTTTAGTGCTGGTGCTAGGGCTTGAACTCAGGGTCTAGGTGCTGTTCCTAAGCTTTTTTTACTCAGGGCTAGTCCTCTACCACTCCCACAGTTCCACTTCCGTTTTTTGGCAGTTAACTGGAGATAAGAGTCTCTTGGACTTTTCTGCTCAGGCTTCTTCAAATTATGATCCTCAGATCCCAGCCTCCTGAGTAGCTCGTATCACAGCTGTGAGCCACCAGTACCCAGCTCAGTTTTATTTTTGAGTGATTGTGATATTGCAAAAGAGTTGATGTTGCAAAAACCTTGCTTGATCTAGTTTGGTGTTGAGGCAATTGAATTTATTATCTCAACCTATTGAGCTCTTCCTATGTGGAACCATACTTGTGATAGTTTCTTTTTCAAGATCTTTTTTTGCTAATTTTTTATTCATATCCTACGTGTCTTCCTCATTTCATTTATCTATATTTTCTTAGATCTCATTGAACCTTTAAAAAATGATTCTTTTGAATTAACATTTTACAGTACTGGAATTGGACCTCAGACCCTTATGATTGTTAGGTGAGTACTCTTCCAATTAAGGTCCCTAACCCTTACTGTTTTAGTATTTTTCAGGTAAGTTCTCACACATTTTTGCTTGGGGCTGGTCTCAGACCAGATCTTTCTACTTATGTACTCCTCCACACACTCCAAATAGAATTGACAAGCACACATCATCAAGCCTGGCTTGTTGTGTTGAGATGGGGAGGAGAGGGGGAGAGTCTCATTAACATTTTGTCTGGTCTGGCCTCAAACCATAAGCCTCCTGATTGCTATCTCCCAAGTAGCTAGGGTTGTAAGTATAGCCCACCATACCTAGATCCTTTGCTCTTTTAAAGTTTTTTTTTTTTTAAATCAGGCATTTATTTCATCCACTTCAGTGTCTTGAGAATCTGTTACTAGAATCATGAACTGTAGGAGGAATCATATTACCATTTTCAATATTTTCATCTTATGTTGAGATTTGTGCAGTTGGTGAAATGGTTTATCTACCACTTTTATGGATGGCTTTCTTAGAATTTGTCTTTCTAAAGAGGTGTTTTGAATTGCCCATTTGTTATTCATTGCTTAGTTTACTTCTAGCCGGGTACTACAGTGTAATTTCTCTGTACCTTTCTTTGGCTGTGACTAGTGAGTTCGGGCATGGCATGTACTGAAATGGGAGTCAGTCATTCCATGCCATGAATGTCTCTACAAATTTCCCAAGAGTGGGAAGTCAGGCAGGTGCGGTCGGTAGTAGAGTGTGGAGGGTACACACTGCCCCATTGCTCCCCTAAGGGGATGAGTATCACCTACTGGGTAATGAGGGCATCTCAGGCACTGCTGATGTTGGCTGTCCTTTGAATGGTTTCTGGTCTTCTGATTAATATTGGTGCAGGTCATGTGTTTCAGGGGAAGACAGGGGAAAGAATCCTCCCTTTTGGATATCCTACCCAGGATCTGGACCTCTGAACCATGCCAAGCTGTGCATGCCTGGGGATGGGTGACATAGCAAGAGGATTTTGTCTTGAGTTTAGTTCTAGCACTTTCAAGGGTTCAAGTGAGTGTAAGACATGGCTGAGATTCTTCTCAGCTTAAGACTGAAATAGGCAGCGCTGGGCAAAGTTCATGTGGATCTGCTTAGGCGGTGTGCCTAGGAAGGCAGAGCTTCAGCCCAAAGCTGTGTTGGCATTGCTGAATTTACTCCGGCACACCTCTGTGGGCCAGGGAGCAGAAGGACTCCTTTCTCCACCTTGCCAGCAAGACATCTCTTCTTGGTGCTGGAAAGGAGCAACTATCCTGTCCTGACACCATACATAACCATGGGAGACTTGCTGCTCCCATCTCATGAGGCAGACTCCTAGAACCCCCAGTTCTGTGGACAGCACCCTCGGCTACTGCTCCTCATTGTCTTAGCAGCTTTGGCTGGCTGGTAAGGCATTGCAGTTTATGTCTGTGGAAGTGCCAGAGACAGGGGTAAGGAGAGTTTTCTGACTCATGGAGCAGTCCAAGTTCAGAAAACAGGATCCTTTGAGGGGCATCCACTGAGAGGGATGAGTGGATCAAGAAACTGTGGTATATATACTCAATGGAATTCTGTGCTTCCATCAGAAAGAATGGCCTCACCCCATTCGTAAGGAGATGGAAAGACATGGAAAAAAAATTGTATTAAGTGAAGTAATCTAGAGAGAAACATAGGCTGCATGATTTCCCTCATTTGTACTAACTAGGTCTATAAATCTACAAGTTAATCAAAGGCTAGTAAAAGACAAATAATTACACTTGGACATAATTAATTAAACAGCACTCTAAGCATTTGCACAGTGAGAGCAAAGAATTTTCTTAGGAGAGGATCACAGTGGCTCAATAGTTATGTGCATTTGACCATATAAAATGATGCTTATTGAAATGAACTACAACAAATGGACATACAAGAGGTTTCTGATTTGTAGTGTAGTGTTTGTAGCTCTTTTTTCTTTTGGTTTATTCCTTTTTGTCACTTTTTTTAAAATTTCGTACCCTTTGTCATGTATATATATTTATCTGATTTGGGGAGGGAAAGGGGAATCACAGAAATGGTGGGACAAAGGCAAACTAATTCAACAGTGATACAAACTAAGAAACCATGTTGGAAATGAACCTTACAAGTTGGGTGGGTCAGGAGGGGAAAAAGTGGGGGGAAATGAGGGAAGGGTAACACTGTTCAAAAAGAAATGTACTCATTACCTAACTTATGTAACTGTAACCCTTTACAATGAAATTTAGATTTAAGACATACTCAAATTGACCTAATTAAAATGTAAAGTTAAATAAATAATACACACACACACACACACACACACAGGATTTTTCTCAAGATGGCTACTGGCTATAGCATCCTAGGGGGTGCTGGGAGATGAAGTGTTTCTTCCCATAGGCAGCCCCCCAGTGGATTTCAGGCCCCTAACATGCATGAAGCACAATACTCTCCAACATCTAAAATTGCCAAAACCAACACTGAATAGAAAAGGAAACCTGGCATTCTTTCACCCTGCCCCTGTAGCACTGCCCATGGAGCAGGCACAGGAGATGTTGGATGTTTGTCTTGCCAGGCTGCTGTCTCAGATGTCTAGATTTCACAAGGTTTCCCTTTCTCTTGTTAATGGTCACTCCACTCAGTGTGCATCAATATGCCTGTTGCTTTGGTTCTACTCTGTAAAGGAGCAGAGAATGCTACGTGCTTCTATTCAGCCACCCTGCATATGCAGGATGGTTTTATATCGGTGAATTAATTCTTTTTTAGTGTTAGGCCATTTATACCTAAAATGACAATTCTATTTAAAAAGATTTCAAATATAGAAATTCAGGAATTAGATCATAGTCGTTTGACAAAAGTAAAATATATTTTCAGCACCCTTTGTTGATACTTTTAAGTTTCAAGATTTATGAATAAAGTTAAAATACTGGTTATTCTAAAGGTTTTTCCTATTATTTTTATCATGAATATGAATTGGGGTTAGAATGCACCAAACTTCAACACAAGTCTCTATGCAACTACTATAAAGTGACTGCTGCAGTTAATATTGGTTCTCAGCAACACATCAAGGTTAATGACCACATGTCTTAAGCATACCATAATATACATATTATGCATTGTAAGATAATCTCTCATAGTGGGGAGGTGGACTGGTTGAACAACTGTTGATAAAAAAATCTCTTGAGAATTCTTTGGGACTAGATTTAATTGAATAACTAAGAAACAATACTATTTTGTGATTTTTGAGTATTGTAACAATTCTTCCCTTTGAAAATATATTTGCTTTTTTGTTTTGCTATTGTAAATACCACAAATCACCCAAGAGGAAAAAACAGGAGAGAATTTACAAATAGTTGGGTAATACACTTTTTGAAAGAGTAAAAGCTTTATTTTTTTCATTTAGTTTTTAACTAGTTCTAAAGTTAGCTATGAGAATTGGTTTAACAGCCTTGACAGAGGTGTTATACTCTCTCTTCCAGATGTGGTTAAAGCCCTGTAAGAGGACAGATATAGAAAAACGACCAAGTTACATTGCTCCATTGTACAAAACAAGTGAGCGGAGAGGAACATTATCCACCACTGGCCATTCCACTAATTTTGTGATTGCTATGATTCTTCCTTCTGACGAACCAAAGGAGCACTGGATTGGAAGGGGCGTAGCACTGTTATGTCAACTTAACTCATAACCCCAACTGTAATCCCCTTGTTCCCATTTCCTATTAGATGGCTAAAGTAGAGTACATTTTCCTTTTTGCTGTTGTTGTTGTTGAAATAAAGTGAATTATTTCTATTCTTAATTATGAACTCATGTGCAAAGGTAGCCTATATTTAAAATGAGTCACAGTTCTGAAATACATAGTAAAGAAAACACATTGGTATATTAGCTCTTTTTGAGTAACTTTATTTTGGGAGAGTTCCATAAGCATTAGGAACACACATAAAATGACACACCACTGTTGACAATGAAAAAAAAACAGCATTTTATCATTTCCAGCTTTATAATTTTCTTTTAAAAAATGATTCAGTTACAACAAAAAAAAGTTTAGATATTTTAGCAAGTATCACCTTGCAGGACCATAATCACATTTAAGCCACTGACTCACTGTTAATGGAAAGAATTCACACTGCATCTAGTTACTATAGTATTTCTAAGCATAATCACAGCTGATTGACTGCAATGTGATATACACCAAAATTCATCTGGATGTCACACAGTGACAGCATTGTACAAGTAACATTAATGACCTCCAACAAACACAGATTAAAATTAGACTGGTCAAGCTAAACGGAATGTTGGAGCCAAACAGAAATGTAGTGGAATTAAGATTGTCTAGTAAGACTTGAAACTGTACATTAGAATGATGTGAAAACTAAATACTGGTGGAACCCTATCAAAATACTAGCAGCAACTGTTACAGCCCTCCTAAAAGGTTAAAAAATAATCTAGCAAATGAAGATAATACCACTCTTTAGAGCATATAAAACTTTAGCATAACCGATCTGCTTGAAATGAGGCATTTATTTTAATAATGGGAGTATATTCCAGCTGTTGCTCTTTAAATGAAGTAGATTTAATGATGGGATGCACAATCCTCCATGGGTGTAAAACCCCCAAAATAACTATAAATGCATCTTGGTTCAGAAAGCAAGATACTTGTATCACTTAAAGTTGGCAGTACTAAATAAAACGTCAGCACCTTTTAGCTAGGTTGCTTGAACGGCCAAGCAATGAGATGAGGACTGTCCTAATTCAGCGTCCAATGCCGAAAACACACTGTGTACAGAATTCCTACTGAGTACAAGGAGGCCATGGAGAAAGCCAAAAACAATTTTTCAAATTCAAGCATAAATTAAAGATGTAACAAAACCTAAGCAACCTTGCTAACAGCATAAAGAAGAAACACTGACCATAACCTACTAATACCTGGATACATGTGCTGCTCTTAAAGTTCTGTTTAAAAAAAAAGTCCATATAAAGAGTAAAGGAATTCTGGGAAAAGGAGAAGGAATAAATGAAAACATGTAATATGGAATGGAAAGAGTTTGGCTCTTAGATTTTTGAATTGTAAGGTTTTAAAAAGAGCTACACAGGATGCCAAGCAAATTGAAAAAGCTAGCTGCACATAGTTCAAATACAGTTTACCTGGCCTAAATGAGGACCGTGTGGCACAAGATGTAAACAGAAAGCAACATGCATATGACTAGTACTACAAACTACTGAGTAAAAACTTCAGGAAAAACATGGCTTGCACTTCTCACAAATCATTTATGATTATGTAGAAGAATAGGGCACCTACATAGGAAACCAATATCTATTAGGCACAAACAGTATATATCTTGGCACAAAATGATGGTGATTTCAGCTTCATCATTTGCTTGGTACCATGACAGCCATGGTATCAACCAAGTTTTTATCCTGTAACTGTTTCACACTTCATATACAGATTAGATATGATAAACTTGGATTTTCTGCCTTCCAACATTAACTGCCAGTCATAGCATGTGCTTTTGGTTCCAATGCCAAACTAGGGAATGATGTGAATATTCAGAATTTCATTTTGGTAGTCCTTAAAATTCAAAAATTGAGTATTATGTTTGGGTTCATTTCTTTGATATTTTCCAGAGTTATAGTTTTAAGGAAAAAGCATCTGACCACATGCTCTTGACCCCACCTTCCTCCACAAAAAAACCCCAAAACAAAAACAAAATTAAAGTTAAAAAAAAGAAAAATACCACCCCCAAACACCAAGTATTATAATAATACAAAGAACTGTTATGAATCTTTCATTAAACTGAAGCTCACACAAACATACAATCACAATTTTCAGTAGTTTAGGCTGCAAGTTTAAACACTATGCAAATATATACAAAAATAGTAACTCTAGATTCAAGAATAAGGGCTTTTCCCAATGCTAAATTCATACTCTAATGCAGCCTGGGCTTTCCTCTAGTTCCTACAGTCTACTTTATGCGGTTTCAACGTTGTGTGGAGTTGATCCCTATTACCCCATACATTTATATGTAGCTGAATCGAAGGGCACTACAGTTCATACTTAGCACAAAGAAAGTCTGCTCAAAGTCCATTTAAAGTATTTTTAAAATTTAAGTGATTTTTTTGGTTCGATTTCTATTTCTGCATAGTCACAGAAGTTTCAACTAATAAAGAGACTAGTGTTTTATATGATTATTTTTTAAAAAGTCTTAATCAAACTTAAATCAACATTGGTTCCTGGAGTCCTTTTCTCCTATCTTTATCACAAACTATGTTTTTGTGAAACCCCTTCATGCAGGGAAAACAGTACTGAGCACCAGTCTTTTGCTTTTAGGCTCAAATCTATAGGACTTGTAAGTAGTGCAAGCCACTGACTTTTCTTTGAGCATTGTGCATACAGTACAAGAACAGATGCAAAGCTGCAGGGTAACATGGTCGTAACCAACAGCGATTACTGGGAATGGTTAAAACTGGATGTCAAACACAATCTTGTCTTCATAGAGGGCAATCACCAGCATGATGGCAAACCCAAACAGCAATCCCAAGTTCTGAAGAATGAACTGCCCCACTGGACAAAAGCCATGTTCTTCATTGTCACCATCACCATGCAACATTTCTGGAAGCTGAAAAAAAGAAATTCATCTTTATAAGCAATTTAAAGTTTGTTAAGTTCAGCCAACTGGCAACTTCCTATATCCAGTCATAGCTGGACTACTTTCACCTTGGCTTTCCTTTTCCTTAATGTTTACAAGATAAATCTTTTTTAGCAAAGCATTTTGTGTGACTGTCATCATCTGGCCAAAACCTACCTGATAGTATGAATGCAATATTTCATCCCATTTTTTTTTCTACTTAATCCAGAAAAAATACATTAGCTTTGGAGGCATTAGAATCCTAATGGATTCATGTAGCTACGTCTTTTTTGCTCCTGAATATTTAGAGCATTCCTTAATACAATTGTGACACCACAAATAATACTTCAGTTGGGTTTTATTTTGTTTGCTTACTTACTGCTTTTACAGATGGTACTCATTTTAGGCTATTTTTTCACAATACAATCCCAGAAATAGAATGTTGTTATTTATCATTTGGTTTACTTACACACCCTTTGCTTTTGCTTTTAATAAACTCATATATTCTTTAAGACTTAGCCGAGATTTCCTATTGCAGGAAAACTTCCCTAATTCTCCTTTTTAGCCAGCCTCTTTGCGGTTTCACGAACATGGTATATCAAGCTACATTAACACACATCAGAATACTTTTGACTAGTGGCTACTTTTATTCTTCAGTAAGAGTTCAAACCTTTCCTGTTAAATTATTTTTGGTCATTTATATCTCTACTTTCTTGGTTATAGACTTGGTCCACTCAATTCTAATTGTGAACTCCATTTGTTCAATCCTAATTATGAACTCAATTTCCCATGGTACATGACGCAAACAAACAAACAACAACAAAAAAGCCAACCAAAGCCAGGCGCTGGTGGCTCACGCCTGTAATCCTAGCTACTCAGGAGCCTGAGATTTGTGAGGATCTCAGTTCAAAGCCAGCCCAGGCAGGAAAGTCTGTAAGACTTTTTTTTTTGGGTCCGGTGGGGCCTGAACTCTGAGCCTGGGCACTGTCCCTCAGCTCTTCAGCTCAAGGCTAGCACTCTACCACTGAGCCAACTTCCCAGCCCGTCTGTAAGACTCTTATCTCCAATAAACCACTCGAAAACCAGAAGTGGTGCTGTAGCTCAAGCGGTACAGCGCTCGTCTTGAGCTGAAGAGCACAGGGATAGTGCTCAGGCCCAGAGTTCCAGCCTCATGACTGACCAAAAAAAAAAAAAAAAGCCAACCATCAGAAATGGCTTCAAATGTTTACTGAAGACTTTGGAAACCTGCATTCTAATAGAAAGTTCAATATAACATACACACATAATATTTCTTACCATATCCACTAAGGCTACATAGAGGAACATGCCTGCCGTGATTGCAAAGATCCACAGGGTGATGTTATTGGCATACTGGCCAACAGCTGTGCCTATGAGCATGCCTATGTACGCCATCATGGCAGAGAGGAGGTTGTAGACAATAGCTTGCTTTACAGTCATGCCTGCTTTCAGAAGAACTGCAAAATCGCCTGCAATTAAGACATAATAGGTGAGTTTTAAAACTACGGGATTGCAAAACACAGGTTCAAAAGGAGAAAAACTCTTGAAAGATACATCTTTTATAGCATAAGTCAGTTTGTTAGGGTGACAGATGATTCTGTACCCTGATTCTGTACCCTGATAGTTATACAAATCTAATACTTTTAAAATTCAAAGAACTGTATACTTACATCTTACCATATAACTTAAAATGTAAGATTTCTTTTTAAAACATATCAAGAAAACCACAAGTGAAAACAGGAACAGTAACACTCTTTTTTCTGTTCTCAGATCCTTTTGTTCTTCAAGGGGACATGACAAGCAAGAACAGACAATAGCTTAAGGATGCTTTATGCAATGTTTACATCAGAAATAAGCCTTATTTCTGAAAATCCTAAAAATCCATGCTCCCATCACAGGGTACATTAATGTCCTAACTAATGCCTGTAAGAGCATCAGTACCTCAAAGAGCAAACATTGTCAGGTTTCTATCTGTGAAGAAACTTGGATACAAGAACAAACCAAGGCAGAGCACAAAAAAGAAAATCCTAGGATTTTCTTCCTAGATATGTAAGCATATAGCTACAAATGTATGAAAGAACAAACAAAAGAAGATTACTGCTCCAAGAAATGCTAGACAAGGGCAAAATGTTGCCAGATAGTAAGTATTGTTGAAGCTGAAGGGTCAAAAGCAATTTACTTATTTAGAACCTTTTAGTTACCAAGTCAACTACTGAACACACAGTATATGCAAGGTATGTTATATAGCAAGTGTCCTGGAACTGGTATCCTGTTGGGGTTTTCCTTTCCATTACATGTACATATCTAACAATTCAGGTGCTACTTTTTACTAATTCTCATGGCTACCAGGTCCTAGTCTGTAATAAGTAAGCAGAAGTTAATAAAGAAATTAGTACAAGGTCTTATTTTTACAGATTCCATGAAATGGCTATCAACTACAAAAAAAAAGAAACAAAACAAAAACATTAGTAAATCACCAAGGACACCTTCCAGAGCTGCTAAATTTTTAGTTTCTCCTAGGATCCAAAACACTGTAGCCTAATTCTTCTGTTAAGACTTAGATTTTAGTATCACCCTATCTCTTCTCTCCTTTGGGGCTCCATTTAATTTTCTCTTTTTCCTCAGCTTCCTTTAAGAGCTCTCTAACTTCCTCCTTCACAAATTTCTACTCCATATTTCCAATTAATCATTTTGAGTCAATGGTGCGAAATGGTCAATTTCTTTGGCAGGGGGTTAGGTAACAGAAATGAAGCTACAGAACTGTCATTTAGATTATGAAAGGAATATGATTTCATAGTGTGGCCTGAAAGGGAGGATGATTTAATATTCAATGAACAACTGATTACTCAATGAACAAAATAGGAACAATATAGTCGACTTCATTCCCTTGCGCTATCTTTCCTGTTATTACTGGATAGCAGGATAATTTTCTTCATTCCTAAGTAGCAATCAAATAGCATGAATTAACTGTAATCAAGACTCAACATGAATTTTTTTTTTTTGGGGGGGGGGTTGAACTCTGGGCCTGGGCTCTGTCCCTCAGCTCTTCAGCTCAAGGCTAGCACTCTACCACTTGAGCCACAATGCCACTTCCAGTTTTCTGGTGGCTTATTGGAGATAAGAGTTTCATAGCTTTTCCTGCCTGGCTGGCTTTGAACTGCGATCCTCAGATCTCAGCCTCCTGAGTAACTAGGATTACAGGCATGATGAGCCACTGGCACCCAGCATGAATTATTTTTATATAATATTTTTAAATTGATATAAATTATTTTGTTGATAAAAACTTATATGGATTTTGAAAAGCACATATAGCATGGAGATAACCACTATTAAACTCTGAAACTGTTTTATTACCCTCCTCCCAAAATTTTCGTAAAGCTTTAAGAGCACCAGTAATTTGCTTTGTGCCTCAGTTTTACCTTTTATGGATCATACAAATGGGATTATACAATACTTCATATTTTGGCTGGGTTTTATGTATATCAGGAAATTGTGTTTTATTGTGAAGCACTATTCATCTAAAGTTAGAGATAACACCATACTATGTTTATATCCATTCACCAGCTTAAGATGTTTCCAGTCTGGGGCAGTTATGCCTAAAATCGCTATATAAACTACAAGCAGCTTTTCATGCAAACCTAAGTTTTCATTTCTCTTTGGTATGTACTTGCTAAAAGGAAATTCCAGACTCTGCAATAAGCAGTCCCACAGAAATTCACGCAGCTCTAAGCAGTAAGCACAACTGTATGAAATTCCACCAGCAAAGTGAAAGAGCACTTAGTTGTTTTACATCCTTGGCTGTAATAACAAATCCAGCATCTGAAATCTCACATTTGATTTCTTATCTATAAACCGTCTTTTAGTGAAATTTCTGTTCAACTCTTTTTGTCTTTTTTTTTTCTTGCGGCGTAAGGTTGGGTGTTACTAAGTTGAGAAATCTAAATCTTTTTGTTCTAAATGGATCATGCTGTGTCTAAAAGCGGTCTGTCCAAGGACATAAAAAATATTTTGTTTTCTTTTAGAAAGTGTTCTATATTTTGGGCTGTCCATTCAAATCAATGATTTATTTCCAATTAGTATTTGTGTATATTGTAAGGAATGGGTTAAAGGTTTTTGGTGTCGTTTTGTGGTAGTGGTTGTTATGGTTTATTGGTAGTGAACACTTTTACAGCATCAGTTGTTGAAGACTATCCTTTCTACAAGGGATTTTCTTTATACTTCAGTTGAAAATAAGTTGCCATATATATGAAGTCTCTAAGCTCTGTTTCACCGATATTTATGTGATTATTTTACCAAAACCAACTGTTTTTATTTTTGTGGCTGTATAATAAGTGCTTTTTTGTTCTTTTTCAAAAATTTCTGGCTACTCAAAGAATATTTCCTTTCCATATACAGTGTTTTGGTTTTTTTTAACTCACTTTTTTCTGCAAAGAGTCTGTTGAGTTTTTTGATCTACAAGAATTAATGTCCTAACAATAGAGTCTTTTAGTTCACAAGCCTGGTATATCTCTAAATTTAAGCCTTCTTGGATTTCTTCTGTTAGTGATTTGTGGTTTTCAGCATTCACGCTGTATGTTTACTGTGTCAGATTTAAGCTAAATATTTTATGCTGCTAATGCTATACCTCAAATGTTTTTCTATAATCTCTGTAATAAGTGTATCTTTCACATGAAATCTGTCTTTTCTCATCTTATTTTAAGCTACAAATTCACAAAGGTTTCTGAATATTTTCTCCATGTTTCTTAGTAAAAATCTATATAAACATTTTGAAAGTATGTCAAGATTCCCCACATCTGGGAATTTAGCTGAATTTTCAAGTGTATCCACAATTCAATAAATCAATATTTCTTCCTTCCTTCTGACAAAGGACATTGTTAGAACAACAAATAAAGTATCAAAGGCATTAAGTTGTAAACCGATGATATACCAGTATCTGCTAACAGCAATTGAATTTTTTTTTAAACCAAGAATATATTTGACGGTTCTTTATTCTAATCTTACATAATGCTTACACACACATTGAAATTCCATATAAACCTATAAAAATGAATGTTCGATCTTCCCTGGACAGTGTAGCACATCCTGCAAAACTCATTCGGCATTTCAATTTAATTGATAGACTAACAAAAAGTGGAGGGCCGGGGGGCCAGTAATGTTATAGCACTATAACTGACTAGAGCTGAGTTCTAAATACATGGCTGTATTTATTTCCCAAAACAATCTCCTTGAAGCTAAAATACACTGCTCAGCATCAAAAAGAGAGTTTGGATTATCTGTCTTCTGGATTACCCCAGTTCCTTTCCCCTTAAGATGTCCTTCTTCAGGCTTTCTTTCAAAAGCTGGGGACGGCACCTTATTTCAGGGGTGTGGGAGTGAATAATAAAGCAATGAGTCAATAATTCAGGCAATTTTACTCATTACCTATACCCTAGGGCAAACATGAAATGAAGGTATTTTCTTGAATGGCTTCAATTTCTTCATGAAAAATTTCCTTGAGTGTTGTATGACTCTAAGGTTCTAAGATCTATCTGTTCATGTCATATTTGGTCACATCTAAACACAAAAATATACCTAGTATACCACTGGGAAACAGCAATTTGTTCAGAAGAAGAATGCCAAAACGTGGAATCAATGACTGATTGATTGCACAACAATGTGATTTAAATACAGGTGTTTTCTCTTAGGGTCTCATAGGGCAAAAGAGATTTTAGAACAAATAAATTATCCTGAAATGTGATAAACCATGCTACTTCCCAATCATTAAATAAATGTGATAAACCATGCTACTTTCCAACAATTAAATAAACTTGTCACAAGATCCACCTGAGCCTAGTAGGTACTGATTTTCCTCATGCCTGATTGACCTTTGAGAAAGAAGACTGGTACCTGTGCACATCCTGTTCTTCCCAGGTAAGTAAAAACAGATGATCCAAATAGAACTGGATATTCATCTGGCCTTGTTTTACAAAAATTACCCCACTGCTATGCTAAGCAAAACCTAGGCCCTGAAATCATGTTTTGAGTGCTTCCTACCTGTTGATAGATAGAAGGCCAGAGACTTTCTGTCACTTCCAGGGTGGGGGAAATGAGTTGTTTTTCTTTTTTTCCTTATGTTCTTTCACTTGTAGTAACCTATCCAGCTAGTGTATAGGGAATATATGTCATTTTATCACTAGGATTGGACTGATGTTTCTGCTCACAGCAATGGCAACACCTCAACCTCTGGTTAGGTGGGGTGAAGTTGAGGGGATAAATAGCCAGACACATTTGGAGCCTAAATGGCTCACTTTGCGGTGTTAGCCGACAAAGTAGAGTTCTCCAAATCTAGCTTTATAATCAGAGCTCTGCATTGAGTGCTGGGATTTATCTAATAACCAATGTACTAAATTTGTCTACATGTACTATTGTGCCTCACCTGAATCTCCTTCAATGAGAAACTGGAGAGAGAAAAAATGGACAAAGTGGTTAAAAAAAAAACAACTATCCCTCACCTCTTAAACTTCTTGTATTCAAATCTGTGCCTGATTCCCTAGAGGTAAGGTAATTTGATAAAATCATACGTAAGCACAAAATGGCCTGACATACTTTATTTAAGGAAATACCAGGTAGACAGGCAGGGAGAGAAAGAGAGAAAGAGAAAGAGAGAGAGAGAGAGAGAGAGAGAGAGAGAGAGAGAGAGAGAGAGTGTGTGTGTGTGTGTGTGTGTGTGTATCCAAATCTATTGCTAAGAAAACTTTTCAAAAAGTGAATGACTAAAATATGAAGCAAATCAAGATTCTCATATACAAAAATCTTCATTTGCTATGAAATTAGGCTAATGATAGTATCTGCTAGTTAGAGGCGTATAAAATACTTTACACTAAAAACCTTACAGCTTAAGAATTTGGAAATATGAAGAGGAAACACACTAAATACCAAAAGAAAGATCTAAAGAAAGTGCAATTTAGTGGAAGAGTAAATCCAAGGCATAAAATAGTGAAACACAGTAATGAAGCTGGAGAAAGATTCTTATGACAAATCTTGGCACTGGTAGCTTACAGCTCTAGCCACACAACAAACTGAGTTTTGGAAGATCACAATTCAAAGCCAGCTGGGCAGAAAAGCCCATGAGACTCCATCTCCAATTAACCAATAAAATGCTGGACTAACGGTGTGGCTCAAGTGGTGAAGAACCGGCTGTGAACAAGCAAACCAAGCTTGGTTATAGGTAAGATAATGGTTCTGGGCCAGTCTAAGCAAAAAACAAGACCTTATTTGAAAAATAACTGAAGCAAAACAGGACTGGGAACATGATTCAAGTATTAGAGCATCATGAATTTAAATCCTAGATCCACTGCAGAGGGTGGATATGTTCCTTCTTTTTAAAATAATGTTCTGTGTGCTAGTCAGAATTTATATCCTTTGTCATAATAGTATAATTGTTTCTAAGTACAAAGGAAAGCACACAGAAATGAAATAATTCATCATTACATTAGGATGTTACATTATTAGAATATACTTTATGATTGACACACCTTTTGTGCTTGTCATCAGTCATTTTTTATGTTTTAATATTTCTGAAATTTGAATGTATTTCACAATGAAAGAAGTCTTAGCTTTGATAAAATCTGGTAAAACCTTTAAAGTTCCATTACCTAATTCATGTGGCAGCTCATGACAGAAGACAGCTATAGAAGTACTGATCCCTCCTGTCAGTCCAGCACTAAATGCCGCTCCTGAAGAAGAGGAAAAGAAGACAAGTGAAGCTTACTGACCTTGTTTTTCCCACTTACATGACAGATGAGAAGCTCTTGTCCATGAATCTTTGTGTCTGTGGGACTCACCTATCTATGCTAAGTACTGTGGAACATATGAACTCCATATACTAGTAGAATCTTTTATTCTTTAGGATTGATAGCCACTATGGATACTGAAATATAGTCTTTGCTTTCTGAAAGATACCAAAGCCTGCTTCTGAATAATTAATAAAGTATATCCCAAGCAAAGTCATTTATGAGTCACATTTCTTGTTAAACTGGTAATAGGAATTTGGTACAATGGATTTTTAACACTGCAAGTTTTTCTTCACTTATTCAAAGATATCTAAGAAATTTACTTTAGTAAATGTGTTGTTTAGTCTCCTACTTCCCACTCTCTCCCAAATTAACTTTTACTTTTATACTTCCAAATATACCTAACAAACCCAGGAGGATACCCTTTGAAAAACCTAAATGATAGCAAGAATAACCTAACAGTAATTTGTTAAGCTCTAGGTGAATTTTCATCTTATGAATTAATAGTTCATAAGATTAGTATAGGCATAGTAGAATAAGGGAAAAAAAACATCTTTAGAGAAAAATAAATGATACCCAAGTTGCAAGTCACTTACCAATTGCTAGTCCATCACTGAAGTTGTGAATGCCATCCCCCATGATTACCATCCAGGCTATATTAGCTATTCCTGTCTCTTTCAGATCTGATCCAGAATGACAGGGACCATGAGAATGATGAGAGTGCTTGTGGTGCCACTGGTGGTTATGTTTCCTCAGCACAGTTTTATTCTCATCGTGGTGGTTATGTGCAGTAACATGGAGATCATGCTCGTGAATGGCGTGTAAGCCATCGCTGTGAGAATGGTCCATTATTTTCTCCTCTTCTATACAAAGGTAATTTTTAGGAGGAGATTCTTGTTGGCCTTCTAAGTCTGTCATTTCAGTTTCATTAAGTCGATCTTCAGAAACAACAGAATCATCAGTTCCTACAGCATAGCAAAAGAAATGTTTAATCAATAAGCAAATGTATATTTGCTAGCCTGGCAGAATAGTAGTGAAACAACATTTCTTAAATGATTATCTTTAAAGAGTTTTAAGTAAATATATTTTCTTCAAACAATTTAAACATCATTCCAATAGAGGCTTTCTATATAACTTGTCAAGTTATATAGATGGATGATGGCAAAATCTTCACCTCTCTCAATGCTCTAGTTACTGACAAGCTACTCAGAAACTCATGCAAGTGAAAAGATCAGATAAGGTTAACTCTTAAAAACTGAGGTTGGCCTTTCAATGGGTTTCCCAAAAACTAGTCTGTAATTTGGAGCAGAGTTCTACTAGATTCTAGGTTTCCCTTTTTTTTTTGTATACTATCATTGGTACATTGAGGGGAAACAGTTAAACATAAAGTGAGAAAACTTAGGTTACAAAATAATGTTGCAATGAAAACTAAATATCTCATACATATCATGTAATGCAATACATGGATCTTGGCCTTAAAATACCAGACCAAGACCATTTTTCCCCTTCAGTACAGAAACTTTCCTTTTTTCCATATGAATCTAATCACATATGGATAATAAAGTGATTTTGCACTATCAAAAAATAAAACACTAAATTACTATCTAGAAAGACCTCTTTTTATAGAGACATAGTCTTAGTAGATTGCCCAAGCTAGCCTTGAACCCACAATCCTCCTGGCTTTAGCCTCCTGAGTGCTAGGATCACCTTTTCAAATTTTACTCATTTTTTCTTTTGGAGGGGGGACTAAAAGTACAAAATGTTTCTTACTCCTAACATATTTCAGCCCACATTACATCACGAATAAGGGTGAAATTAGCTGAAATAAATAAAATCATAACTAAGACACTAAGAGTTGGGTTAAACTATTAATATTAACTAAAATTTAAAAAGTTACAAAGAAGCCGGGCGTAGTGGCTCACGCCTATAATCCTAGCTCCTCAGGAGGCTGAGATCTAAGGATCCCAGTTCAAAGCCAGCCTGGGCAGGAAAGTCCATGAGACTCTTATCTCCAATAAACCACTCAGAAAACTGGAAATGGCACTTTGGCTGAAGTGGTAGAATGATAGCCTTGAGCTGAAGAGCTGAGGGACAGTTCCCAGGCTCAGAGTTCAAGTCCCATGACCAACAAAAACAAAAACAACAAAAAAGAAAGTTACAAAAAAATTGCAAACTTTGTCACAGTTTGATTTTTTGTTATTTTAAAAGTTTATCTTTAGTCAGAATTATTGACTACCAGCAAGAGGTTTGAGTTGAAGCCAGTCAGCATCTGGGGTGTTGTTTAACTTATGATCCGAAAGCTTTCTTCCAATAGTTGACTCTTCTGTGCTCTGCTTCATAAACCATTTCTGTTTTCCCTGAAAATATACATCTATTATCAGTTTAAAGTCTATAGTAAAAATCTGTACTAATATCCACTTGTTAGTACCTATGGGGAACAAATGGTATTAACTTTATATATGCATATATAAATTATTTGGAAAAGTAGTGAGGGGAAAAAAAATCAAAGACATCAAAGTATCTAACTAGGCGCAAAATTAAAGATTGTGAAGTACAAAATATTATACGTACCACCAATGAAATGTGTAAAGTATATGAAATATCTCCCTAGAGGTATTAGGTAACTAGAGTAATAGTCCGATAGTACTTTGAAATTTCTGAAAACTATAAAAATTAAAGCTTATTCCTTTGAATTTTAGTCTACATTTAATGGAATCTCACATTTTCCTGAATGTGGTTAAAATGGGAAAAGTTAAACTTGAAGTACTAAATTTGTAGCTTACTTCTAAAACTTGGCAAGTTTACTAATGTCGAACACAAGAATACTCATCTGTAAGATGAAAACAAGATTGTTTTGAGGACTAAATGAGATGGTATATGACCAGTCTCAATAACTGAATCTTAATACTGTTGCAATAATAACAAGTATTCTTTCTTATTACTTTGAATTCAGATATCAAACATATAATTTAATCTATGCTCAGTTACTTGTATGTACTAATTTTTTCTTTTTTTATTTTTTTTTTTATTGTGAAAATACTGTACAGAGGGGTTACAATTACATGGGCAAGATAATGAGTACATTTCTTATCAAGCATTGTAGCCTCCTCCTTTGTTTCCCCTTCCCATCCCATCCTCCCCTCACCCTCCTACCTAACCCTCCTCCCGCCCCCACCAAAGTTGTAAAGTTCGTTTTCAACATTAACAACTTGTATGTCTCATTGTTGCAATGGGTCCACCTGTATCCCTATTTAAACGATTTGTTTTTTCCTTTCCCCTCCCAAATTATAACAACATCAAATACAGTGAAAGACAACTATGTTTATTGCAGCCTTATTTACCATAGCTAAGATATGGAATCAACTCAGATGCTCCTCAGTAGATGAGTGGATCAAGAAAATGTGGCATATATACACAATGGAATTCTATGCCTCCATTAGAAAGAATGACATTGCCGCATTTGTTAGGAAATGGAAAGACTTGGAAAAAATTATATTGTGAAGTAAGCCAGGCCCAAAGAAACATAGGTCCCATGGTTTCCCTTATTTGCAATAACTAGTGTATGTCTGAGTCAAGCAGAAAAGGTCAGTTAAGTTGATATTAGGGAAATGAACCCCAAGATATGTATTCAAATGTTTTTTTTCTTTCATGCGATTGTTTCTAACACATTTGTAAGATTATTTCTTTGTTGCTTTGTAATTATTTATTTCATAGCTTACATTTAAATATTTCAAGTTTGGCTTTTTACTACTTTCCAATACTTCCAACTTAAATTTTTACTCTCATCCTCTATTAATTAAAGAAAGTTAATATGCTAGGACAGTGCGAAAATAAGTCAGTGCTCTCTGGGAGGTGTTTACTTCCTGGAGCAACAACTTGGTTGTTGGTTTTCTTTATAGGTTAAGTTATAAACTGAGTCAGAGATATTTAAGTCTTCTAACTGATGCATGAAGCGAGCCTATATGGCTAGTTGGACATGAGGTAGTATGGCTATCATCCATTTCTTCCTTCCATACGGTACGCCATAAGCAACAGGACCCTATAAAATGCCCTAGAATGTTGACTGGTGTTTTGGTTCATCTTGGCAACTACAATGCAGCATACATTGCACTATAACTTTATGGAAATAATAAGCTCTTTTTTCTATTTTACATCTTTCCCTTTCTTTTTACTAACAGTCTAATTGTGCATATAAAGAGTTTACTTTGGTATTCCAAAACATGCAGACAGAACATACTGACCAAATTGGGGCACATTTTCTCCCTATACCATTTTTATATTCGAAGAGCCTTCAAGATCCTTGCTTCGTAAGATTTACAACAGTTACTGTGAACTCTTCTGTGTTTTCTACCTGTTATCCTACCCTTCTCTTCCTGACCTCTAATAATCACTGTTCTACATGGAGGTGGACGTTTGTTACCTTGGACTTATGAGAGAACATGTAGCCTTGACTTTCTAGGTCTAGTTTATTTCATTTTCACTAATACCTTCCAGTCTATCCATTTTGCTACAAATATTAGGATTTCATTTTCTCTGTCGCTGAACAGTATTCTGCAGTGTATAGACACCAGTTTATTTACTCATCTGTAGATGGGCACTGAGGTTGATTCCTATCTTAACTCTTGTGAAGTGATACAATGGATATGGGAGGTTTAGTACTGCTCAAAGGTTTAATTCATTTCCTTAATAATACATTCATAAGTGCAACATCTGGATTATAATAGAACTATGTTTTAGTTTTTGAGGAACTCTTCACTATGGTAGTTTCCCATCAATACTATGTAAGAGTTCCTTTCTTTCCATGGCTTCACCAAGCTTTTATTTTTTAATTGACTACAGCCATTCTAACTAGGTGAGATGGTAGATTATAGGTGTTTTTCTCTTGGTGGGTTCTGGAGCAGGAAGCTCCACATATATGTTGAGTGTATAATCCTATCTCCTCGCTGAGGTTTTGATTTGCATTTCCCTAAAGGGAAGTTTCTATTCATTTCATTGCCATTTTTTTTACCACTTTAAATACTAAATGATACATAAAAATAAAAACTACATGTAGTGACTCCATTCTATGTTTTGATACATGTGTAAATCATACAACATTTAAATCAGATTAGACATACTTATTTCCTCAAATATCTCACCTATATTTGTATTTGGTGAAAACTTACAAAATTCTTTCTTCTAGCTTTTTATAAATTTATAGTTTGTTGTCATTTATAGTCACCCTACTATACAGCACACCAGAACTTCTTTCTCATTTTTTCATTTGCAATTCAAAATATCACCTAATAAGACTGATATCATAAACTGGTCAATAGCTTTATCCATCTTATTTAAATCACTTAGATGAGATGCTGCACAAATGATGCAAAAATTAGACTGCTAAAACTTGAACAGAAATGCCAAAAAAAAAATGTACTAACAAAAAAAAATGAGTGACACCGAAGTTAGCCTTTTTTTATAATATTAACTATTAAAGACAAAGAGAAGAGCTGCTAATGTCACTGTTGGTAGAAGGCCTACCAGGAAAAATTAAGGAAAAAAAGAGGTAAGACAGCAACATCACAATTAAGAAAAGGATATGTCTGGGAAAAGATGATTTTTGGTTTGAGTCTATATCTCAGAAAATGAAATGCGTTAAACAGTACTTACTCTTTGTTGTTTATAGTGTTTAAACATTCGGATGCAGTGTTCAATTATAAACAACAAGTAAATGCCTCCAAGGGCAACAAGTCCTTTCAACACAGCATCATATTCTTCCAGAAACTTCTTGGGTTCATGCCCATGAGAATGTCCGTGTCCATGTGCGTGCTGGTGACTGTGATCGTGTCCACCCTGTGACTGTTAATAAAAATAAAGACGTTTCTAAACATGTGGCTGAGATGGTATTTCACATTTGGGGATCACAAATTACAATTTCTTACACAACACAAAATACTTACTAGCATTTATCTCAAAATTTAGTCTGGCTATTTTTATTTTTAACACATAAAAGTTGTATATATTTATCAAGTCCTATCTAATGTTTCAACACATGCAAGCATTATAAAATGATCAAATCAGGGTAAGCATATCTAGCTCTTGAAAACATTTGCAACTCTTCCTTCTAGTTTTATAAAAACAAGATAGTTCATTATCCTTAGAGTCATCCTACTATACAATAGCTCACTGAGAATCCTTCCTCCTATCTAACGATGACTTAGTACCTACTGAACAACCTCTCCTTATTGTCCTCTCCTTTGTACCATCCCCAGCCTCTGGTATGGTAAACACTTCCACTCTTACCTCCTATAAGATCATTGGGGTTTTTTTTTTAAATATAAATGAGATCATAACAGTATCTTTTAATTTTCAAAGTGTTCCTTTACATAGTATTCCACTTAAAGAAGTCTTCAATTTAATTTACATTATTACTCTGTTGTCTGGAAAGTACTATGCTTTGTAATAAAATAAGTACCATAAATTTAAGCCTTGTGCTGGTGGCTCAGGCCTGTAAATCCAAAAACTACTCAAGAGGCTAAGCCCTACAGAAGCTTGGTTCAAAACCAGCCTAGGCAGAAACATCTTTGGCAGTCTATCTCTAATTAACCAGAAAATAACAACAAGCTGGAACATGGCTCAAGCTGTAACACAGCAGCTATGAGCAATCAGTCCAAATCAGAGTGTAAGACTCTAAGTTCAAACCCCAATATAGACAAACACACACCAACAACAAAAACCCCAAACTTTTAAATGCTTCTATAGGTAACCGTAAAATGAAATACATTAATTATAATAAAAATTACCTATATAAAAATAATAAAAACTATGATAAAAATATTAACTGTAAAAAAATTATATACACAGTTAAATGTTTTTTCGTATACACTTTTATAAGGCTTTCTTGATATACCACAAAAATAAAAGACATATAACTTATTGCTATTTAAAAACCTGCTGATTCAATTTGCTTCAAAAACATTGCTATCAAAACAATGAAAATGGGAGGGGGTTTCATTCTATAATCAAATAAAGCAACAAAAATATGAGCATAGTATTACCACAGCTTGTAACTCTTAAATACTTTTTTAAATAAATTAAAGAGATTTCTTACATGGGGCAGTAGATGAAGAAGGGCATCTCCACTCATTGTTCCTACAGCTAACGCAACAAGGAATGTGAGAAGGAATTTGAAGCATCCTTGGTTAATGATGGGAACCAAAATCACACCCAGCAAGGAAAGCAGGCTAATGACAGTGATAGAAATGATACCACAAATCCATGCTGTAGGAAAAGAAGCGTCAACATTAGTGAGACACTAGCAAACATGAATTCGTCTAATACAAAGTTTAAGTAATAAATCAGATCAAAATTCAATTTATTCACATAAACGGTTAAACACAAATGTCATAGCTTTATGATTATAATAATTCAGAGCCAGGCATGGAGGCACATGCTCAGAAACGGCAAATCCAGAGGCTGAGGATCACAGTTCAAAGCCAGCCATGGCTGGAAAGTCAATCAACCCCCAGAAAACTGAAGTGGCAATGTGGCATCAAGTGGTAGAATGCTAGCCTAGAGCAAAAAAGCCCAGGGACAGCCCTGGGCCCTGAATTCAATCAAGCCCTATGACTGACCAAATTAAAAAAATAAACAAACAAAAAACCAGGTTGGGTATAACTCAGAAGTAGAACACTTGCCTAATATGCATGAGGCCCTAAGTTTTGTCACCAGGGTAGGAAACAAAAAGGATAATTCAGTTTTTCCTTCTATTTACTCTCTCCTCTGGCTTTTTGTACATTTGCCACTTAAAAAATTCTCATTATATGATTATACTAGTTCAGAATATAAAAGAAATATTTTTATAGTATAACTTGTAACATGTATGTGTTACAAAGAAGAGGAATTAGTGCACATAGTTCTTCATTCAATCTATTCAAGAGATACTAGAAATATATGGTAAGTGTTTTGAAGGCTGGATATTTTCATTACAACTTTTATTGATGACCTAACTAAAAATGCAAAGTTTCTTTAAAAACGGCTTATTTATTAAATCTACTTAAAGTCTCATTTGTAAGTTTTAATCTAAAATATTATTCTTAATCAAATCTAATAACCATATAAGTACTGAAATATTTTATACTTATATGTGATCAAAGTAAATTGTTCATATCTACATTATTACATAATTTAAAAATTTTAAAACACAGTAGATAACATTTGTAAATACACTTAATGCACTTCATCAATTACATTTATTCAGTGGACATTTTAGTCACATCATCCAATGACACTGACAAAACAGTCTAAACTCATTAGCTAAATTAGTTCACAGAATTAAAACAATAGGTCATCTAATGGTCTATTAACAGTAGCTTTGTGTTTATACTCTATCTGAACAGGTAATTACAAGTAGAGGAGCCTAAGAAAGCAATATAGCACCATTAACAAACAGAAGGATGGATCTAGCCACTAGGTCTACTAGACAGATTCAGTGCAATAAGCTTTACAAATATTTTGATGAAACAAAGAAGCAGGAGCTCAATTACTACAAAACTAGTGTCAGGAAAAATTTATTCAAAAGGTTTAACAACTTTAGTACTAATATTTGTACTATGAGTAAAAATCCCTTATCCAAAGAGAAAAATTTATAATCAAGCGAAGTTTAAAAGCTGACTTAATAATGATCATAAATTACTATGTTCCTTGTTCCCTGGTAGGAGTAATAAAATTGGTGAGAAAGCCTGACAGAATTCAATTCAGAAAAGTGGCCAAAGATATCGCCCAACTAAACCAATAAGGTTTATCAAAAATACCAGAGCTCTCCATCTCCAAGCTATTTGGGGGGCGGGGGCAGGTAAGGGGATGAAGATGAAGGTGAGGTAATTAAGAAAGATGGGGTAATTCGCCTACACAGGATGAAGAAAAGTTGGCATCAAAAATATTAACCTAAAGAGAAACTATGTCTGGTACATGAATATATGATTCTTCTTTCCAAGTATACTTTCTCCTAGTTTGGAAGTAATCCAATCAAGAAGCAATTCATCTCAAAGCAGTAACCTAAACATAACCTCAAAGAAAAAATGCACTGCACTAAGTAATTCATACTCCAAGATATTCCATAAAAGAAGAAATAAATAAAGAATTGGGATATATATACTCACTAACAAAACTATAAGGCCCAAATAATATATAAAGAATAAACAAACTGCCGGGCGCTGGTGGCTCACGCCTGTAATCCTAGCTACTCAGGAGGCTGAGATCTGAGGATCACGGTTCAAAGCCAGCCTGGGCAGGAGAGACCGTGAGACTCCTATCTCCAATAAACCACCAGAAAACTGGAAGTGGCGCTGTAGCTCAAGTGGTAGAGCGCTCGCCTTGAGCTGAAGAGCTGAGGGACAGCGCCCAGGCCCAGAGTTCAAGCCCCACGACCGACAAAAAAAAAAAAAAAAAAAGAATAAACAAACTTATTATGTTGATAACTTAAAAATTTACTAGAAACATTTTAATCAGAATTATTTTGACCAAAAAAAACTCTATATACCTCATTAAAAGACAAAATTAACACTATGAGAACTGATTTTGGGAGTATAAAAGGTTCAATTTCCATACTGCAAATCACCATGGAATGCTTGAGTAACAGAATAAGTGAAATGGAAAACAGTAAATCAGGAGTTGAGGATAAAACAGAGGAGCTAGAACAAAAAGTCAAAGGTATGGGGAAAAAACTCAGAATCTACCAAAGGGAAATCCAAAAATTGGCAGACTCAGCCAAGAGATCAAATTTATACATAGGTATGGTCCATGATGGGAAAGAATTCAGAAATAGAGAACTTCCCCAATTTTAGGAGGGAAAATCTCACCCACCTGACAGAAGCGTATAGAATCCCCAGTAGAAAGGATCCAAGAAGAAACACTTTTAGACACACAACAGTAAAAACATTAGACTCTGAAAAGCAAGGAATTGATTTTAAATGCTGCAAAATCAAAGAAGGAGCTATATTACAATGGAAAGAAAATCAGAATCACTGAAGATCTCTCCCCACAAACTCTCAAAGCAAGGAGAGCCTGGAATGGTATTATCCAAGCCCTGAAGATCAACAACTGCCAACCCAAACTGGTGTATCCATCGAAAGCAACATTTACATTAGATGGTGAAACCAAAACCTTCCATGACACACAAACATGAAAGGAATCCATAAACACTAAGCCAGTATTACAACCAATACAAAAGGGAAGTATACAATCTGAAGAAAACAATCAAAACCAAGGAAAGACATTAGACAAAAATCACTAGAAGACAAACTTAGTAAGCACAGGAAGAGGAAAGAAGCAAAATACAGGAAATCAAGAAAATGGCACGAAACATGACATCTCTCTATAATAATTCTAAGCATTAACGGGCTTAATTCCCCAGTCAAAAGAAAAAGAACAGCAGACTGGATCAAAAAAACAAGATCCATTCCATTTGTTGTCTCCAAGAACTTATAGGTATAGGCAGGAACTTCTTGAATAGAGTCCCAGTGCCATAACCAGTAAGAGAGAGACTAGACAAGTGGGACTACATTAAAATAAATGAGGCTTAGTGGTCTAAGAGTGCTTGCCTAGTATTCATGAAGGCCTAGGTTTGATTCCTCAGTACCACATAAACAGAAAAAGCCGGAAGTGGCACTGTGGCTCAAGTGGTAAACTAGCCTTGAACAAAAGTAGCTCAGGGCCAGGCGCCAGTGGCTCACGCCTATAATCCTAGCTACTCAGGAGGCTGAGATCTGAGAATCACAGTTCAAAGCCAGCCACGGCAGGAAAATCTCTGAGACTCTGATCTCCAATAAACCACTCAAAAACTGGAAGTGGTGCCATGGCTCAAGTGGTAGAGCGCTCACCTTGAGCTGAAGAGCTCAGGGACAGCACCCAAGCCCAGAGTTCAAGCCCCACGACCAACCAAAAAAAAAAAAAAAAAGTAGCTTAGGGACAGCACCTAGGCCCTGAGTTCAAGCCCAGGACTGGCAAAAGAAAATAAGGTTTCTGCACAGCTAAGGACACAGTTACTAAACTACAAAGAAAGCCAACCAATTGGGAAAAGATCTTTATCAGCAATACATAAGACAAAGGCCAAATATTCAATATAGACAAAGAGTTCAACAAACTAACCCCTCTCGAACTTAATATACCAATTACTAAATGGGCAAGGGAGCTAATGAGAGGCTTCCCAGAAGAATGGTAAAGAAGCACATGAGGAAATGCTCCTCATCTCTGGCCATAAAGGAAATGCAAATCAAAACAATCCTGAGATTCCATCTCACCCCAGTTAGATTAGCCAACATTTTGAATTCTAACAATACCAAATGCTGGCAGGTATGTGGGGGGAAAAGGAACCTTACTGCACTACTGATGGGAATGTAAACTAGTACAACCACTCTGAAAAACATTGAGGAGTTTTCTCAGAAAACTAAACACATAGACTTTCCCTATGATCCAACCACAACACTTCTAGGCATTTACCTCAAATATCATGAACCAGGATAGAAGAACACTTGCACATCCATGTTCATTGCTGCACTATTCACAATATCCAAGATATGGTAACAACTCAGATGCTCCACAATAGATGTGTGGATCCAAAACATGTGGTAACTATGTACAATGGAATTTTACACAGCCATTAGAAAGAATAACATAATGTCATTTGTAGGCAAATGGATGGAACTAGAACAAATCATGTTAAGTGAGGTAAGCCAAGATCATAGAGACGAAGGGCACATGTTCTCTTTGATATGCAAAAGTTAAACCTAAAATGCACTGGGATATGGTAAATTATACAAGACAAAAGTCTTAGGAGAGAATCACAAAGGTTCAATACCCAAACACCTCTTCATAGATATATAAAATAATATATATAATGAAACGAACAGCAAAGGATTTCTTTTAATTTTTCTTTTTCTGATGATTCCGTATTCTTTATATAGGATGCATTCTTGTGCATATCTGTGGAAGGGTGGGAAGGAGGGCACAAAATTCAAGGGGAAAGGGTATAAGCGCAGCAATGGAGTGCATTGGACATTGATGAAAGTGAACTATACAACTTGTGAGAAGATGAGAGGAAGAGGGGAGAGAATGAGGGACAGATGACACTGTAGGAAAGGAAATGTACTTATTACCTGATGCATGTAAATGTAACACCTCTGCATATCATGTCTATAATAACAATTAAGTAAATTTAAAAAATAACTTGTATCTGGTTAAAAGTATCTTCAATGTGGAAAAAAAAAGTTCAGAGAAGATTA